CAGAGAACCATTATTTTTAACAATAGCGAAAATTGTTGAAAAAAGTTGATCAGAATTAAAAACTACTTTTAGATAGTCAATATTATCTATCTACCATGAAAAAAAAGTTTTGCGATTTGCAAAATTAAAAGAAATTCATATTTTTGCCAAAAAACATTAAATATAATTTTTTTTATACAGGGAGTTTTATTGAGAAAAAGAAATATTTTAACCCTTTAAAGAGGGCAGCCAGGGATCACAAAAAACTCATATAGTATGGGTCTTCCGATCTTTATAACCGAGTTACAGGGTTTTTTGAATTTGGTTGATTTCTTCCGTGCTCCATAACTTATGAATAAACGTTCTGAATTTGAAGTAACATTCACACAAAACAATAAAATTACAATTATCTGTACTTAGGAAAATTTTAATGATTTATATTCATTTAATAATTAATTATTTATTTTTGCATTTTTACATCAAAAAATTGAATATTTCCACATTGGGCATTTCCATTAAATTAATTATTGCTGTTATGACCAGTATTTCACCAAGCCAAGTTGCTTGGCCTGAAAACAAAAAGCTTGGCTTGGCTTAAAAATCAAGCTTTTGTAAAACAAAAAGCTTGACTTGACTTGATTTTTATAAGTCCACTCTTTGCTTGTTTACCAAGCTTTTTCAAGCTTTACCAAGCTTTATCAGGGTTTCAAGCTTTTCCCTCCACCTTACCGATCACGTGTTAAGTCTACTAACCTTTTTGTCGCCGCCCTTTGTTTGTATGTTCAATTCAGTCACTGCTAGCATTTTAAAGCAAGTATTTACAAATATGAGCTCCACCAATATATCAGATATCGAGGAACCCTTTCAAGACAGCGGATCTGAATATGTGGTAAAGGAAGCGGAAGGATTGTCTTCTAGTAGTCCTTGCGAAGAACGTATTCGAAATAAGTCCAAAAAACAATTAAAAACATAGAGATCAAATTTTTTTTAAATTAGTCAAGATCATAGCAAAACAGACAAAATAGCAGTATGCACTTTGTGTACAAGAAAATCAACAATAATTAAAATGCTAAATGGGGCAACTAAGTCTTTAAAAAGACATTTATAAAGTAAACATAAGGATTCTTATGAAAAAGCTTTTCCACAGGATAAAAAATTTAATCCAAATCCAAATAGTGCTAGCTCGTTATAAGTTTGTACTGATACAGAAATATATGTTAGAAATAAATGAAGATCGATAATGATAAGATTTTATATCTAAATTAGCTCTTCTTTTTAGCAGTCTCTTTCTATTTAACGCACATCCTAAAAATTTCCTTATAGAATATTATATGGATTATCTAGTAGTTACTTTAAATAAATTTTGTAGATTATTGTAAACAGTTAATGTATATAATATCTTCAAAAGCTTAAAAGCTTGAAAAAGCTTGAAAGCTTCTCTTGAAAAAGCTTGGTAGTTCAATCTTTTTTTTATAAAAAGCTTGACTTTGCTTGAAAAATAAAATGTTAGGCTTGGCTTCGTATTTTTAAAGGCTTGGCTTGATTTAAAGCCAAGTTAAAGGCAAGCCTTTAAAAAATAAGCTACGCCTGTAAATCTCTGATTATGACTTGGTACTAATTACAACAATGTATTGTAAATAGAATTGTAATACCATTACTAAAACACAACCACACGAAGGTACTGAACCTGAAATGTAGGCTATGAAATTAAAATATCTAGTTTGTTTGTGTCATTTCTAATGTCATTATTTGATTTTTGTCAATTAGTGTACGATCTTTTCAAATTGCATTAGTTTATTCCGCGTTGTCCTAAGATTTAGATTTAAAAATTTAAAAATTCTATTCGAAAATACTGCTACATGGTATTTGTTTATGGTTTTTGCAATGGTAGCGCTTTATCTGTAAAAATCGAATACGAAAAATGTTCTGATCGAACAACTCCTGATCGAAAAACTTTTACTCGCATTTTAAATTACTTAAGTGAACATGGATATTCCCTACAGTTAGAAATAATTAACACCAAGAAAGAAGATTTTTGAATAATAATTTTTTACAGATGAATCCCAGTTCACAAAGGAAGGCATTTTTAATTTAAGAAATTCCTATATCTGGGCAGAAGAAAATCCCTCTGCAATAAGAAAATGTCATTCCCAACAAAAGTTCTCTGTGAATATTTAGTAAGGTGTCATTGACAATAAACTAATTGGATCCCGTATCTTTGACGATAGATTAACTGGTGAAATTTACTTGGACATTTTGCAGAACATTTTACAGGTGCTATTACAGAATGCGGGTGTAAATGTAGGTGGAATGTAATTTCAACACGACGGTGCACCTTCCCACTATACGCGAATTATGAGAAATTTTTTAAATGACAATTTTCTCAATACTTGGATAGGTTGAGGAAGTCTTAATAACTGGCCATCTAGATTATCTGACCTAAATCCTCTGGACCAATGGTTCCTAACCTAGGAGGCGGCAACCTAATTTAGCAGGCGGTGAGTACTTCTCTTTCACACAGAAGTTTGATGTCTATCAAAAGGTAATATGTTGGTAAGATTATATGAACTGAGAGCAGAGGTTGAGATTTTTCTGGTTGACAAAAGTTTTTTCGATTTCTTGAAACAGTTTATTAATCCGGCATGTTAGCTGAATTTGGCTTACCTTGTGGATATTTTCACATACTTAAATAAATTGACTATGAAACTGCAAGGTACCGAAAATAAACAATTGGAAAATGTCGCAAATATATTTATTTTTGGAGATAAACTTTGCGCTTTTATTTGCAAACTTCCGTTGTGGTTACGTAAAATTAAAGAAAATATTCTGCGTTTGCGAGATTAAAAGCACTTGTGGAAGATAAAAATTATGATGCTAGTTAAGCAAATATACAAAAAATTAACAAGACTCATTTACAAATGTTGATTGATGAATTCAATCGTTACTTTCCAGAATATACCGAAGAAGCTAAAGTTGATTAAAAACTGATTCGTAACCCTTTTGATATACGGACGCTGGTGAAGTTACTGAAAGAATCCAGGAAGAATTCATTAAATTCCAAAATGACAGAAACTGCAAGGATGCTTTTCAATCGAATTTACTTAAGTCGTTTTGATTTAAAAATGCAATTTCTTATACTAAACTTTGATAAATCGCCTTGCGCTATTTTATGGTTTTCTCAACAACTTTTTATGTAAACAAGGATTTTCTGCTTTGTTGGTAATTAAAAACCTAGGCAAACAATCGTTTGAAAGTAAGACATGATTTGAGTGTAGCTTTAAATAATAATATTAGTCCTGGGAAAGCCGAACAAAATGGAGAACATTTTGAACAATTATTAAAATAAATTCATTTTGTTCGGAATTGTTTTTTATTAGGTATTTTTTTATTACTTATCGTTAATACATGGTATTATTTATTTAGTTTAAACCATTTTTAAAGAGTTTCTATATGTATTTCATATTCTTTGTTTGTTGTTGCATTTTTCCAGTTCGTGTGGATTAGGCTTACTGGGGGTACCACAATAAAAATAGGAATACAATATGGAAATCTTCAATTTTTTTATGTAAAAATGTACAAATTAAATAATTAATGATTAATTATTAAATGAATATGAATCACTTAAATTTTTCTAAGTACACATCTGTAATAGTCATTTTTATTGGTTTTTGTAAATGTTACTTCAAATTCAAGTTTATTTTAGGAATTTTCATGAATGAGTTAAGGAAAATTAATTTTAAAGAAGAAAACATTAAAACCCCTTTAACTACATTTTGCAAAACAATGTACATTTTAACGTTAAAATTTTGGTAGTAAAATGGCATGCGAAATAATAAAAAGTTGATGAATGTATTCAGTTTTTTATGATCTTTCCAAATTCGGAATTTAAATTTTGAAAATTTGATGTATAGAGTTGTTTTAGGAGGGGATCAAAGTTTAATAATTTTTGTTAAGCCGGATTTGGATATTGAAATTTTTTAATATGTGGATAAATTGTCCTATAGGTCTAGATCAGTGTTTCTCAAAGTGTGCTTCGCGGAGCCCTGGGGCTCCGCAAAGCCTTGGTGGAGGCTCCGCAAAGAAAACAAATAAAGTGAAGCAGTACTATGGGAAGTTCGCCACAAAAGGCAGTGATTCTAAAGTTAGGGAACACAGAAGAAATGGACCATTTAAAAAAATAATATCCTGTAACTCTGTTATAGAGGTCGCAAGACCCATGCTATATGGTTTTTTGTGATCTCCTAGATGATCTTTATATAGGGTTAAAATATTTTCCTTTTCCAATGAAACACCATGTATATGGATAATATTGAATATATGTCCGTAGTTTTTAATTCTGATTAACTTTTGTTAACAATTTTCGATATTGTTAAAAATAAAGATACTTTGCTTTAGCATAAAATTGATAGTTTTCGACGAACCTCGTACATGACTGCATTTTTTTTCTCTTGGTTGAATTTTTGGTTTCAGATGGTTATAAAAATGCCATTTTTATATAATACTAATAATAAAAATGTTTCCTTAAGTAGACACACTTTAAATTAATAGTAAAATCGTTTTGTTGATTGAATTGTTAAGACTGATTTTTATACCTAGATCCGTGATATTTATTATTAACAATACACGTATTTGATTAGATAATTCAGTTTACATTACTTTCGGCCATCAAGCCAGGTCATTGTGAATTCAATTTTGGATTTTGCGACCAGGCTTTAATTTCCGATAAAGACAACCTGTCTTTTATTTTAGTAGAATGCGTTGATGAAATAGACTACAGTTAATATTAACTTCTTGGAAAACCATAGTGTCTTCTATTTTGTATCAAACCTCTCTCGTATATTACTTTATTTTAACCCAAATAACAAAATGAGAAATACCAGTCAAGGTCAATTCAAACGATAACACTAATATATTAGACCTCATTCTCCGGTGACCTCTTGAAAGATTATCAAAAATTGTCAGAAATACACAAAATTTTGCAGCTATTTAGTTCTTGATAGTCAATCAACTATTAAACAACAATGCTTACCTCCAATCTTTACGTATTTTTAGTGTTTTTCGTTACTTATATACAATTTTCGCATCCTCTATGTAATAATATTGAAGCTTTATATAATATAACAGCAAGAGTACATTTAACAAGGTCCGAAAAGGGCTTTAACTACAATGGAAACCTGTACAATTTGGATCAACATGAAGTCATCGATGTTACTCAGGGAAATGTGACAGATTTGTGCGAAGGGATAGTGAAAAAGTTTCCTAAACTGCAAGTATTATCTCTAATTAATGTTAATATTTCAAAAATTCAACCCAACGCATTCTTAGATGTACCAAAACTCCGAGTATTATCATTGTCAGTAAATAATTTGACAGAAATTGAAAACGGTTGCTTTAATAACATTCCAAGGTTGGAGATCTTATACCTATCCGGAAATAATATACACACAATTGGAAATACGGCTTTTCAGAATTTCCATCACCTAAAAAAAGTTCACTTGGATAGAAATCAGTTAACAAGACTGGAAGCAAACATTTTCAGTGGCAGTCCAAACTTACATTTGCTAGATTTAAGGTTCAATTTACTTACAATAGTGGACAAAAACAACTTTCCTCACCTGCAACCTACATTTAAAGGACCAATAACATTTTTATTAGAATCGAATCAAATTGATGACGTCGATCCTTCCACGTTCGAGTTTAATAATCCTGTCAAGCTACATCTACAGAAAAATAAATTGAGTACAATATCAAACCTTTTCCACGGCCTCAGAGATTACAGCACATTAAATTTGGATGAAAATCTACTCAGTTGTTTGCCAGATGACGTTTTGGACAACATTAAAACCACAAACAAGAACATTTCTATTAAACAGAATCCAATTACTTGTGACTGTCTCAAAAACATCGAAAATAGTTTGGGAGATGGTGAAGAATTATTTGGTGTAGGCGTTTTAGAATATAGTTCCATGTTTCAGTGTTTTGGACAAATATCATTTTAGTAATTTTAACAGATTTATAAATATTGTGTTCTTGGTTTTAATAAATTAATTGGAATTATTTGAGATTTTTAAATATAGCGTTAGACATTAAATTAAATGTCAAATATATAGTTAACTGTCAGGTCAAAAGGCGTATAAATAGAAAGGAAAATGGGACTAAAAAATGTGTCTGGTTTTACTTTTGTCATTATTTCTTACTTTTGAAAAAGTCAATTCTTTTTTTTTATAAATAAAAACTATCAATGTAAAAGCAGTATTTGCTCTAATAAAGTACAAACATATGCATTAATCTAATTTTAATTATTTGGAAAGAGCATTGATTGGACCTAAATACATTTAAAATATAGTTCAAAAATAAAAAAGATATGCTACATTTGAAAGATCCTCCCATCGAAAACATTCTTGAACGCAATGCCATCTACATAATATAATATTTAATATCAATTTATATCCAAAACTGAAGCTCTGCAAACTGGCTTTACCAGAAATAAAATATCGGCATTCCTTTACAAAATATCTGACCTAAAAGTTCATATTGGTACATCCTGTATATTAAAAATATTTTGTTGCAACTAATCTAGACAAATAACTTGATTTTTTAAATAATGGCACAAATAAGACTAAACTGTTAGAAGTAAAAAGAATTAACTTCTCAAGTCCCCGCTCTCGGCGCTCTCTCCTGGTCCTGGACACTGAAACGGGTAGACCATGGAGGAAGGGTAGACGTGGTATTGTCGACCCCAGTGGCGGCGACATCCTAATTCGCTGACTCTAACAGACACTGCAACGGGCAGACGTGATATCGTCGACCCAGTGGCGGTGATATCCTAATTCGCTGACTCTAACACGGCCAGACTGACGGGCGTTTCATTCTCGAAACATGTATCCATTTCCACTGTGGTGTGTTTATTTTCTGTGGAAAAAGGTAAAACGTGACCTACATGCCAAGGTCCAATATATACTTTCATGACCCCAAGCTTCAAGATATTGTAATCTTGAAAAACAAATCATAAATAAAATATTTCATGGGAGTATGCTGATCCCATGCTTTAATTTATAATTCTAAAAAAATAATTCATGGGAGTACCCCATCTTTCAATTTGTGATTTTCAAAAATAATTCATAAATAAAATAATCCATGCGGAAGCATGATAACTTCGTTCTTCAATTTGGAATCCTGAAAAACAATAAATATTTTATGGGAGTATGCTAACCCCATCTTTCAATTCGTAATCCTAAAAAGAATTAATAAATAAAACATTTTATGGGAGTACCCCATCTTTCAAGTTGTAATCTTGAAAAATAATTCATAAATAAAATAATCCATGCGGGAGTATGCTGACCCCATTCTTGAATTTTTAATCATAAAAACAATTCATAAATATTTCATGGGAGTATGTTGACTCCATCTTTCAATTTGTAATCCTAAAAAAAACATTTTATAAAAATTTCATGGGAGTATGCTGACCCCATCTTTCAAGGCATATTATTCGCACTTGAGACAAAACATCGGAGTATGCTTACCCCATCTTTCAAGGCATATTATTCGCCCTTGAGACATAACAATACAGATGGGAGTATGCTGACCCCATCTCTTAAGGCATATTATTCGCCCTTGAGACATAACAATACAGATGGGAGTATGCTGACCCCATCTCTCAAAGCATAACATTAAACATGGAAGTATGCTGACTCCATGTTTCAAGGCTTATTATTTCATCCCTGCAACAATTAAAATCAAAGCAGTTAAAATAAAACATTTACTTTACCTTCAGTTTCAAAAAATTGATGTCTTGCAAATCAGTCACTAATGATCACCCGCTCGGCCAAAGCCAGACTTGTTTAACATTTTTTGGAGACGAAATTTTTGTCAACGCCTCTATTTATCTCCACTCCGATTTACCATCATCAGCGGAAATCGTCCATCCAAGAAAATCAATTTTTGTTTGTGAAAACATTTTCAAATATTTAGGAAAAACCTGCTGTTTCTGAGGCTTCTAGAACTTGCTCTAAATAAATCAAACCCTATTAAACAATTTGGCTACGTATCATTATAATCAGTATTATAAACATTAAACGTGTACCTAGACTGAGCTGACTTGCCTGTAATTTTAACATCTGTTCCAAACTTATATTTTGAAAGAAACTGTCTCAAGTTACGCCCAATAATACAAATTTCCTGTAAATTAACCCGGACTGCTCAATAAATGTTTCACACTTCAGAGGGACACTTAAATCAATAAACCCATATAGGTTGATTAATGTTTATTTCCATTGCTTGCTTAGCTCTAAAGAAACAAAATTAATTTTATGTGTTTTATCTTTGAATTTTTAAAAAAACAGTTTTCAGTTACGTGACCTGACTTAAATCAAAAAACACATTGTTTATTTTATTTATTTTTTTCGACTAGCTAAAGCAATATCGGCATCATTATGAATGGTTGACTCTTAAATTTTTATCTCCCTTAAAATTCTGAGAGTGTTGAATTATTTTGGAGGAACAATTATTGTTTCTTACACATTGTTATTTCTTTTTTTTATATCCAAATACAAATTTTGGAATGGTGCGTAAATATGAAATTAAATCATTAATTGTTAATTGAATTGAAATCTCTAATAGTAACGGATTCTTGTACATTTCATGAATCCCGTAAACAATTAATTCAGTTAAAAAAATTAAATCTTCTGTACTTCGATTAGCACGCAAATTTTCCACTAAAGTAACCTTTCCAATTTGAACATAAACAAGTATAAAAATTAGAGAGAACTGTCAAAAAAAGAGACTTCAAAAAGTAAACGTCCAACAATTTTCTGTGTGAAAATGATTCATAAAAATTCAAATTTAAAATTTTTCAATAAAGCCACAATTTTTTATGAACGTAAGCTACATAAGAACTAAGGAGTGAGCTATCAAAAGAAGAGGCTACAATTTTCAAATTTGAAATGAATTTTTTTTTCAATGAAGCAATCTTTTTTGTTTTGAACATAAAATGTATAAAAATTATGGTGAGCTGTCAAAAGAAGAGGCATTAAAAAGTAAACGCCCAACAATTATCTGTGTGAAAATAACTCGTAAAAGTTCGAATTTAAAATTCAAATTTTTCAATAGAGCAACACTTTTTCATGAACATAAGCTACACAAGAACTAAAGAGTGAGCTGTCAAAAGAAGAGGCTACAATTTTCTCTATTAAAATTACTCTTACAAGTTCAAATTTAAAATTATTTTTTTTTTCAATGAACCAATCTTTTTTGTTTTGAACATAAAATGTATAAAAATTAGGTTGAGCTGCTAAAAGTAGAGGCTTTAAAAAATAATCGTCCAACAATTTTCTATGTGAAAATGACTGAATGAAGTTCAAATTTAAAATAATTTTTTTTTTTAATAAGGCAATCCCTTTTTTTTATGAACGTAAGCTGTTTAAGATTTACAAAGTGAGCTGTCAAAATAAGAAACTACCATTTTCTGTATAAAAATTACTCTTAAAAGTTAAAATTTAAAATTAGACCAATCTCTTAATGTTTGGAGACCAATTTTCAAACCATATTTTAGCATCGACCAATAAAAAGCGTTCAACTCTTACCAGTATCTGCTGATCTTACCACTCAAATTTCTCTTTATCTTTTCGAACTGTTGTATCCAAATCTTAGAATCGTCGGTATCTGACCAAAATAAAAGCAAATCAACTTGTTCTGGAGTTTTTCTGCTGTTTTTGAAACTGTGCAACATCTCTGCGAATAAATCATCCTTGATACACTTTTAGACACTTCGTTTTAAATGTGAAAACGTGAACAGGATCCACACTTCTGATGTTAGAAGTTAAAAGAATTAACTTCAAAATTATTGTTTTTAACTTATTTAGCACCCTGTATACTATAACACCCTGTATAACCACTTCATAAAACACGTGTTTACATGGTTTTATAACGTTTTTTTAAATATCTCGTAAACAATGTTTGAAATGTAATTAATTGAGGAACAAAATAAAGAATTTCTTTAACGGCGTATTGCCTATCACTTCATAGCGTTCGGCTGGTCGAACGTCAAGTCCTAGCTCTCGGCGCTCTCTCCAGGATAGCTATTCACTAAGTCATGGGAGCGCTCCCATGGGAGTGCTCCCATATATTTTGCTCTCTTACTCTTAGGTGGGTATATCGTGCTTACTCACTTTTAGCCCAGGTACATGCGTAGTAAGGTCAGATTTTATACTATGGGAGGGAGAATTGCGGGCTTGCCAGATTAGGTCCGTATTTATCACAAAGCAAATTTGAATTACTAAGGGCTGATTCCACCGTTGAGTTAAACGGAGATTAAAATGACATTGTTAATGTGAAAATGTCATTTTAAACTTCGTTTAACACAACGGTGGATCGGTCCTTAAATAGTAGATCAAAGTTATTCTGTCTACTTGGCAACGTTGGCATGGGAGTATGGGAGCATGGGAGTGTGGGAGTGCTCCCATGAGTTAGAGAATAGGTATCCTGGTCCTGGACACTGAAACGGGTAGACCATGGAGGAAGGGTAGACGTGGTATTGTCGACCTCAGTGGCGGCGACATCCTCATTTGCCGACTCTAACAGACACTCCAACGGGCAGACGTGGTATCGTCAACCCAGTGGCGGCGATATCCCAATTTGCTGACTCTAACAAAACAAAATAATAAAGTGGCTTCTTTTTCATTTCTGGTAATTTAGACACAAAATAAAATTGTTTTCATTAAATATTGTAAGAGGTTTTATTAACTGGATGTGCTCGGGCGCCAGTTTGTTTAAGAGTGGTTTGTTCCACTTTATCTTTTGGAACAATTTTCAAAAGGATCTGCAGGTAGCTACAGTAAATAAACTAAAATTCCAGAGGGTCACCGATATTGCGTAAGTTATGTAGTACTTGAAAAAAGATTTGCCTCATAGGGAATGAAATGCCAGGTTTCAGTTTGATACATATATTGATCTACGTCAACAAACACACGTTGCAGTTGTATTATATTTTAACTAAATATTT